GAGAGAGAGAGAGAGGAGCATACCTCTCGAAGATCGAATCATAAAGCTTAGTGAGCTCTTCAGGAACTGTCTTGACATCCATTCCAAAGTGGGTCTCGATGAGGCGCATGGACTCGAAGGCCGTCCTCATCTCAGCTCTGGACAGGATGCCATCGCCATTAACGTCGAGCGCAAAGAATTGCTCATCCACAGACTTGTTGAAGGCGTCCGTGTCCTCAACAAAGTCCCTCACCGTGGAGCCATCAATGATAACCACGCTCATCCTTCCTTCTTTTCTTCTGCAAATTCTAGAGAGAGAAAATATGGTTATACAGGACTTGAAAAGAAGGTCAGATTGCGAGGGCTTAGAGAGAGACAATGGCGAGGTGCCAGCGAATATATAATGGTTGGGGTACTTCGGATATGCTCTGGTTTCAATTTAGAGAGAGAAAGAGAGGAGAGAGAAAGAGAGAGAGAGAGAGAGCGCAGTATGAGCTCCACGTTTTGGACCTTAACATAACACCAGGGAATGGAGAAAATATCTGGAGTGCTCCTGCAACTGGTACCGAATCCCGCCCATTTTGCCGTTAGACAAAATGTATGCTGCTCTCGCGGGAGCACCTTATCTAGTTGCTCCTTCGGGTAAATATCGAGTAGAGAATACGCTTAGGACCCCAAATTTTGGGATGTTACCTCTTGAGAGTAGTGCGTAACCTCAAGGAATTTGAAAAGTTCAACCACATATTCTATGTGTTCTAGAAAATAGAAAGGTAGAGAAGAAATTGTCGAAATCTCTTGCAATATCGTTAGAGGGGTCAAAAACTTACACTTGAGGGTATATACTTTTAAATTTTTATATCAATTATTTTTTAATAAAAAAATATTTTAAAATTTTTAAATTGTCAATGTTTAGTGTTGGGATACTAAATAATTAAGAATGCTTTGATAATTTTATCCTCAAAGAGGCATTACCTCAATGATAATTGGAGGTAAAATTATCGAAGCACCCATGATCGTTATGGCTTCCCACCATCAAATTGGGAAAATTTAAGAACTTTAATTTTTTTTGAGGATATCTCTTATTGATGTAAAAATTTAAAGACATATCTCAAGTGTAATTGGTAACTTTTTAACTTAGTGTAAGGGGTTTCAACTTTGTTTGCAAGCCAAGGAATATCAATACGTCGGCAAACCAAAATATCATTAATAAATTGGTTTTGCTCCAAAACAGTTGAGGGCAAAAATTCGGTCAAATATACAAATTGCCAAAATTTAGTTAAAGGTTGAGATTCGTGAATATTTCGGATTTGGCTTAAAAAAATGGAGTAAAAGAATCAGAAATATAAAAGAAACACAATATAAGATTATGAGGCGCAATTATCTTATGGATACATTTAAACCATTTGAACCATAAATTTTATGTCCTTATCTAGTATCTTTACCTAGTATCATTAAAGTCATACTTGTCAATTTTGTATTTACACTTTCAATATATACAACAACAAATGCTTACGATATTATTACATCACAAAACGTATGATAAATTTATGGACCCGATTTCTATGCGGCCAAGCCTGCATATGTAGAAATGCGAGCTTCTTAATAAATCTATTTTTTAGATGAACTTTAGGACTGAATTTTTAAGAACATGTAATCTCTAATATGGAGATCATGAATATGAAAAAATATAAAAATTTTAAAAATTAGAAATAACAATTATAGTAAGAAAACATTTGGACAGTAAGTTTCTATTGTTTTTAGATGGAATACATACTTGCATCCATTTTTAAGATGAATGCTTTATAATATATAAAATACGAATTTATATCTGTTCCGTTAAAAAAGTGATTTTTTAAATATTTTTCCAAAAAAAATGGTGCTCTTAACAGATTTTTAAAAAATTAATACTTTTTTAATATATTGTGTTCTAAATCGAGCCTTGCTAACCATGATTTCAATCCTTTTTTTTTATATTTTTCCTTAAAGAAACAATTTTTGGAAGGCAAGATCTAATTGTTTAAGAACTCAAAATTCATTTTTTGGTTTGAAAATAATCATCTAATAATTTGAAAATAGATACAAAAATATTTTAAAGAAAATCACAGGGTATCTATTTCACACGAGGGAGTTAATATATAATGTAATCGCGTGGGTTCATGCTTCACAAATTGCTATTATTAGACAATGGCATACGAACCGAGTGCTACATGTGGCGTTAGCCATTTGATTTGTAGTTTTGCTGATAGGTTTAGAGTGGTATAAATTTGCCGAATTAGGGAAAGAGCTTGGGCTTAATTGGTTAGCGCTTCATTATTTGTAATATTACGTTTTAGGTTCATTTCTTATCAAAGGTAGGGCAGTCACCTAATTCATTCCCTCAAAAAATAAAAAATAAAATAAATAAATAAATAATAGGCCTAATTAACGATTTTGGATGAACTAAATGCTAAGGGAAAAATGCTTATTGTGGATACCCAGTTTGAGATGGACTTTGTTCATTCCAAGCTTAATCCAGGCCTAGGTATTACTTAACATCCCATGAATCCTGAATATCCTAGGCATCATCCAAAATTAGCAGGACTTACATTGAATAAGAGAGAAAATATCACCTGATATGTCAAATCGGAGATTTTAATTAAAAATGGAAAGAAAATGTCACTGGAATCAAAATCCTAAGAAAATCCACATCAACGAGATCTAATTAATTTTTTTTATATAAAAAGAAATTCAACAATATTATTAAAACGTACCTAGAAGGAAATTACAGAATTAGAGACATAAATCTTTGTAACAAGGGTACCACCTTTTGCAAGGTAATCTGCCAACACATTAACCTTCAGATAAACATGCACAAAAGAGACGCTCAAAAATCGAGTTAAGTCAAGAATATGTATCGGCACTGATCTCAACTCCCAATGCACATTTTTCTCCCCCTTACACCAATTGATGTTATTCAAAGAGTCACCTTCAATAACACAAAGTGTGTCACTAGGATGAGACATTCAGTGCCGCATGCTGTGTCGCTAGCACATGTGAACCCAAGATTGGCCACAAACAATCACCTTCATATTTTTTTTGATGCACTTTGCCTATAAATAAATCATTTCATATTTTTTTTGATGCGCTTTGCCTATAAATAAATCATTTTTCTTAGCCTTTCGGGTTATACCTTGAGATTTTTGAAATTTAGATTGAATTTTGAAGCTCTAAAACCACCTAATGCTAATTTTCCTTAGAAGCCTTAGAAAACCTAGGATAAACCCTAATTTCCTTGCAACTGGTAATCATCCATAACCATTAAAGCATAAGTACTTCTTTTCATTCTCTGCTTAGACCTTGGCCCATAGGAATCTTCCCTGCATGTCACATCCTAGAGTTCATGGCAGCATTTCTTTGTAGAACAAAGAGGATTCAATCATTCATCTTGATTGATCAAGGCTCGTACACCTGATGCTGTTGGGCTGGACTTAATAAGATTTTTTTTTTTGCCATATTTTTACTTATTTTTACGTCTTATTTAGTTTTGCCTATTTATTTATTGTTCTCTTTTGATTTCAATGTGATTTACAGCGAGTGATGCCCACAATCCATATAAGATATGATCTCTTAGTAAGGTTAGATGGTCTTTGGATTGGAATTTGATAGGACCCCATCATTTGTTTAATTAACTAAGTTTAGAGCGAATATGAGTTAGATTTGTGACTAGATCAATCCAAATTCAACGATAAACTAAGGTTCATATATATATATATATATATATATAGTTAGGTTTAGTTAGTACTACTACTACGTTGTTAGGTAGTAAGTAATTACGTAAGTCGTACTACTAATTAGTTATAGTTATAATAACTTAATTACGTAGGTAGGTTAGTTTAGTT